CCTGCTCTGCAAGCTCCCAAGTCATCATATTGTTTTGAAACCATGCATTCTTTCTTTATTAATTAAAAAAAAATGTAGATAACTGATAAGGTAGCCCGGGTGGGGTAGAGTGGGGTGGGGGAGGAGGGAAGGACAAGGCCACATTGCTTATTGTAGCCACACTACAAATCAAAACTGTTTGAATGACAGCCTTCTGTTGCTTGGGCCATCCTCTGGAGTGGAGTGGCTGGGTGCCCGGAGCTTCCCCCGCATTCTTGGGCATCTGGGTGAGGAGGATATGGAACTTGGGGAGGAGGGCAGGCGGTTGTACACTGGATGCAGTGGCGGTCTGTGCTCTTGTTGGCTTTCCTGCAGTTCCCTCAAATGCCTGAGCATGTCTGTTTGCTCCTCCATTAGCCTCAGCATTGCATCCTGCCTCTTCTCATCACGCTCACTTAAGGCTTTCCTGGACTCTGCCACTGAATGCCTCCATGCATTCAGCTGTGCCCTATCAGTGCGGGAAGACTGCATGAGCTCGGAAAACATGTCATCCCGAGTGCGTTTTTTTCACCTTCTAATCTGCGATAACCTCAGGGACGGAGATGATAGGGGGAGCATAGAAACATTTACACCTGCGGGGGGATAAAAAAGGGAGAGTAAAATTTAAGATGATACATTTCTGAGAACAAAAGGGAGACTCTTTCACAGTGAATCAAGCAATTCACAGCAGACAGCACATGTGCTTTAGATACAAGGTCGCACTTTGCCTTTTATATTGAGTGCCTACCAGTATGGTGACACATCACACACAACTGGGCAACAGAATTCGGTTTCCACGCAGCCCTCAGACCAGCATCTCATTCCCGCTTGGAGTCCCGGCGCCGTTCTGAGTCCCGGCACCGCCCCAGGTCTCGGTCTGACTCACGGCACCGGTCTGACTCGCGGCGCTGGTCCCGCTCGAGGTCACTTTTGACTGCGCGAACATGGTCCCGCTCGAGGTCCAGGGCACGATCGGTGACTTCGCAGCACCGCTCGGACCGACGAGGTACGGGTTCCCGATCCCCCTGTTAACTATCGCCATGGCACCTGTCGGCGGCCCACTACCGATCGGCATCGCGGCACTGCTCCCCGTCGCGGCACCGGTCGCGGTCGCGATCAGCTTCACGGCGCCGATCCCTGCGTGACCTTCGCCTTCCAAGAGACTCGGTGCCTGCTTTGATCCACTCCCGCACCGCCCCTCCCTGGCTGTTGCGGTCCCGATCCCCTTCTGGCAGGTCGGAGAGAGCCTCAGGGGTCTCGGACATCTCTCATTCTGGCCCAGGGAGCCTCGGCGAAAATCCACCAGCGACCCACTGGCAACCCCAGTGGCAATTTTGGACACCCTGGGCATACCATCAAGCCCAGGGCTCTCCCCCAGTTGCCCGGCAGTCGTCTCACTCAACCGCCAGGCCTCCTGAGGCAACTGTCAGCTGCCCTCCTCCTGACCCAGAACAAACTGTGGAGCCAGCGCCTGCGATAGAGGCTACCCCAGCTCCCCAGGCTACCAGGAGGAGCCACCCATGTCCGATCAGGATGCTACATCCGCACCGGCCCTCCCAGTGGAGTCATCCTCGTCCTCCCCTGATGAGGCTGTGGCTGGCATGTCCACGTCTGGGACACCCCCGATGGACTTTAGGGTCCTCCAAGAATTGTTGAGGTGCGTGGCCCTCAATATGAACCTCCAAATTGAGGAGGTTGTGGAGGATGAGGATGGTGGACATTTTAGGCCCGGAAGGGCCCTCCAGGGTGGCCCGTCCCATGAATAAAACCATCCAAAACAATGCAAAGACTCTCTGGCAAACCCCGGCCTCCATTTCCCCCCACAGCTAAGGGGGTAAAGAGAAGGTACTTTGTCCCTACCAGGGGTTATGAATACCTTTTGACCCACCCTGCCCCATGTTCGCTTGTGGTAGACGCAGTAAATGCCATGGAGAGACAGGGCCAGCAAGGGCCTGCTCCCAAATCAAAAGACGCAAAACGGCTGGACCTTTTTGGGAGAAAGGTTTATTCTACTGGGCGTCTCTCGCTGCGGATCACTAACCAGCTGGCGATCCCCAGTAGGTACAATTTCAACTCTTGGTCTGCGGTCCTCAAATTCCAAGATCTTCTCCCAGCAGAGGCTCGTACAGAACTGGGGGCCATCGCTGAGGAGGGTAAATTGGTTGCCAGGACCTCCCTCCAGGGTTCCCTTGATGCTGCGGCTGCACGCACCCTGGCGTTGGGAATCGCTATGTGGCGGAATGCCTGGCTTCAGTCCTCCGGCCTCCCGCCCGAGGTTCAGCATACCATCCAGACCTCCCTTTCGATGGCCAGGACTTGTTTGCGGATCAAACTGACTCCTGCCTGCATACCTTAAAGGACACGAGAAACACCATTAAGTCCTTAGGTATGCATACCCCGGGTAACCAGAGGAAGCCCTTTAGGCCTCAGACCACCCAGCAACGTCCTTTTCCTCCTAGACCGAGGCAGGACCCTTCTCGACGTAGACCCTCTCGTCCCCCCTCTGGACAAGGTCAAGGGCAGTCTAAGCCACCCCCGGGCCCTAAGCGCCCATTTTGAAGGTGTGCCAGAGGACGGACTACCAGTTCTTACCCCGGACAGTTATCCCTTTCTAAATCATCTGTCCTGTTTCTACCATGCCTGGTCCCATATTACCTCGGACTGTTGGGTCCTCCGCACGGTGCAGATGGGATATTCTATCCATTTCCATTCCATCCCGCCCTCCCACCCCCCTTCCCCGTCCCTCTTCAGGGACCCTTCACACGAGCAACTCCTCATCCAGGAGGTTCAATCCCTCCTTGCCCTAGGGGCAGTGGAGGAAGTTCCTCAGGAGTTCAGGGGCAAGGGTTTCTACTCCCGCTACTTCCTTGTCCCCAAGGCAAAGGGAGGCCTAAGACCTATTCTGGACCTCAGAGAGCTCAACAAGTACATCGTCAACCTGAAGTTCCGTATGGTCTCCTTAGCCACTATCATCCCTTCACTGGATCCGGGAAACTCGTATGCCGCCCTCGATATGAAAGACGCGTACTTTCACATTTCGCCTCACAGATGTTTCCTCCGTTTCGTGATGAGCAAGACTTGTGCACAGCCCCCTGCGTCTTTACCGACTGCATGGTGGTCGTGGCTGCTTTTTGGAATTGATATGAGCAATCACTTGAAGAAGAAAAAACAGTTACTTACTTCTCTGTAACTGTTGTTCTTCGAGATGTGTTGCTCATATCTATTCCATTCCCCCCCACCTTCCCCTCTGTCGGAGTAGCCGGCAAGAAGGAACTGAAGGGGGGTCGGGCCGGCAGGGGCTTATATAGATCGCCATTTCGGCGCCACTCCAGGGGGCTCCCCAGCCGGCCCGACGGGTAGCTGCTAGGGTAAAAGTTTCTGACATCCGTGCACGCAGCCTGCGCACAGACCTAACTGGAATAGATATGAGCACATCTTGAAGAACAACAGTTACAGAAAGGTACGTAACCGTTTTATTTTATGCTACCCTTAGCTGTATGTTTATGACAGCATCAGAGTTGAAAGTGCTGTCCAGAGCGGTCACATTGGAGCACTCTGGGATAGCTTCCCGAGGCCAATAACGTCAATTTGCGTCCACACTACCCCAAATTCGACCCAGGAAGGGGTCGAGGAGGAGTACAGAAGTCAATTTAAGAGCCCTGTAGGTCAATGGAATGGGGTTGCTTGTGTATAAAATCAACCTAACGCAGCTAAATTCGACCTAACCCTGTAGTTTAGACCAGGGCTTAGTTGTCTTTCTAATTACTCATTATTAACATTCATTTTTAAGTTACTATTTGAGAGAACAAAGTTGAAGAAGAGGTCAGAAGTGGATGGGACATAGAAAAGCTAACTGTACAAAGTGGAAAATCGATAATCTGTAAAAATGAGTACAGGAAACATCATCTTTTACACATCCTTTTATATATATTATGCATTATTATATAGTCATTCTGCAGTAAAATCTGAAGCAGCTAGTACCATGGCCAAGATGTGTTGGTTAGAAAATATTTCAGAACGTACCCTGCTCATAGGCAGTATTTCTAGCTAATACTAGCTAAGAAATGTGTCTGGATGGTTTGTACTATTAAAGATCAGTCCAGTTGGCTATCTTAGATGAATATTGTTAAATAACATTTATTCATAGAACAAATTACCAGTGCATCATCTGGACTGACATCAATAGTTGACTGTTTTATCAATCAAAAAAACAGACTTAACTTATGTACTAGTGATAGATGAGTAAACATATTGTAATTGCTATCCTGGAAACTTTTTGAAAATATATTTGTTATATTGACTTTATAAATACAATACTGTAATAGTATTTGCAGGACCTCATTCAAATTACATATGCACAGGGGCTGAAGGTGGATAAATAATTGGAAGAAAGCCTTTCCCCAATCCCAGCAAAAGAAACTCTCTCTTTCTCTGTAGATTTTTGTTTATCCCATAGTTTTTTGGATTTGTCTTATATTGCTAGATAGTCTGTTCAGCATAGTTTAGCATAAGACTTTTTGCAAATAATTGAAATACTCAAGAGTCTCTTTGTCATTTCACCTTTCAATTACCCAGTTTTAAGTTCTGGGATGTAACTTGATTTGTTGCCAAATGTGAAAGGGTAATAAATAGCAGCAATTAATTTTAGGATTAAATTGATCTTTTTTTTTCAAAATTCAGTTAAAACATGTGCAAACTTTCCCCCACTGTATCATAATGTGCAATGTGAAACTCTTCCCAAAATTACAGAAGTCACCACAGGCTCAAAAATGTCCAAGATAAAGAGATTAATACTGGAAGATGAGACAAGACTGGTTTCCCTTCTGGTCCAATGTCCCATTGTTGTCTGTTAAAAAGAGGCTTATGTTGGATTTCTCCCACAAAACAGAATCATACAACATATGCAGTAAAACCTTTCTCTCTTTTTATCATTTGGATAAAAAAAGAGCAGGTAACTTTAACTAGTGTCCCTTTTATTTTAGGTGCAACAATGAAAATGAATGGTATCAGATCCATGAAAACATTATCCGCAAGTCCAGTACCAAGTATACAGCACCCAGCTCAAACTATGGTAATTATTTTTTATTTTTTATTTTTATTTTTTTTGGCTAGAGAACCCTTAAAGTGTAGCTTGATAAAACTGAGAATTCTTTGTGGGCAGAGAAGTTCCACAAGATATGCTGTGACACTTAGCCCATTGCCAATTATCATGCATTCTTTCTAGTTGTTTGTTTATTTGTGCTGGTGTTAGTACTTCGTCAGGTAAAGATTTATACTGCATTACAACTCTGAAAACTGGCTCTCTGAAAATGGCATTTTGGGGTTCCATTTGGTGTTTTTTAATAATTTCCATATAAAATTTCTTCAGTTTACAGGTTAAAAAAAATCTCTAACTACTACTCCTACAAATTTGCCCTGGATACAGAAAGTCAATCTGGACTCTGTTCTGCCTATGCACTATTGGCAATAATAAAGATTCTGCACATTAAAGTCTCTCCTTTATTATATCTGTACAATGTCATTGTAGATCAAAGTGGAGGCAACTAGTGCCTATCTGATTTTTCATTCGTGGCCACTCTTACTTTTGTTGGGCATTTTACCCTTGCTTATGAAAACCAGTAGCCAAGGGAAGTGTACAATATCAGCAGCTAACTGCACTGGCAAAAATATTTTATATATCCATTTGGAGCAATGTTTCTTGTTAAGTGTTCCTAGATAGAAATCGAGGGAAGTTCCACAGGAGCTGAAGGATTTGTACAGGAGTCAAAAATTTAATTTGAATCTCTCTTGATTACTCTGGATCATACCACCTAAGTATTCCCATGAAGATTCCCGCAGTGACACATACCTGAGACATGCTCATCTTAGGACACCATGAATCTATTTGTGAAGGGATAAATATTGCATTTCTTTTAGATACTTATCTGATTTTTCCAGAGAGAGACCAGTGCATTTATAACTGAAGATTAATTATCATGAACACTAGCTCTGATAGTTGCAGTGCAGAGTGCTTCATATAAGGCCAAAGGGAGTTATTGTCTTGGCAGAGTTCTTACTGTATTCTGAGTCCAGATTTATTAAATTAAATAAATCTATTAAAGATAAATTTGTAATTTGCTGAGTAAATTAATCTTTCTCCTTTTCCTGTCAGCCACCTCAGTTTATAAGTGCCATAGATAGCTAATTTGGAAATGCAATTGCTATTCCATTCCAAATGCTACTATGTGTTACCCTTAATGTACAGTCATTTAAAGGTACAGGCAGTTTTGCTTTTGTTGCAAAATAAATTTATAATTCATCAAGACCCCATTGAGGTTTAAATCCTAATCTCTTCTGGATTTCAGTTGTTTACATATCAAATATGCTGTCACTGAATTTGCAATAATTCATATTAGCATAAAGGGCACTAGGTACAACTGAAGGCAAATGAAGCAGTTAGCAAGCAGGGTTATGTTATAGGTAGAGTTTGTAATACCACCTATAGGTAAGGTCACCCAACACTTCTTGTTATAAGATTCTGTTTACAATTGCTCATAATTTTGCAAAACTTTAACCACTTGGGCTGAGACAGTTCAAGGAAACCCTATAGCATTGTACTGATGTGGTAATTAAGATAAAGGCTTACGTTATTATTCCCAAGTGGTTCTAGCCTAGTGCATATCAGGAAAAAACACAGTGCCTCATAAGTGTTTTACAGTCAACCTGCAATGTTTAATTTTTTACTTCCAAATTCACAGTCCTGTATAACATTACACTACTCTCCTAGCTGGTTCTTTAGAACAGTTTGGTTTCTCCAGCATTACTTCAGATTTAGATACATGATATTATTCAAATTAAAAAATGCTATGTGTATTATCATGTTTTACATACTGTAATACAAGCCATTATTTCCCACATATAGCTTGATGTGGAGTGAGTTATAACTCTTGGATCTGGAAAAATAAATAACTTTGTTTCTTGCAGGACTTATAATTTCTCTACAGCTTCTTCGTGGGGACATGGAGCAGATTCGACGGGAGAACCCCATGATCTTTAACAGGGGGGTGTCTGTTACCAGAAAACTCGGTTTCCCCGATGTCATAATGCCAGGTAGGTAAATTGCTGCTAACTATAAAATGCAGATGCTATTGTTCACAGTCTTTCTTAACCATTGATAACTAGGATGGTTTTTCACTCAAGGATGGACAATAATGTAAGAGATGCCTTGGACGTTTCCATATTACAAATTCCAGATTGCAGTAAAGCATACCTATTGCCAATTTGAAGTATTTTTCACTGAAGCAGTACAGAACCATAATAGAATGCATTAAATTGACATACATAACATGTATTCAACAGACTGTTTTGTTCTTTTTTTTTTTTAATTAGAAATCCCCTGCCTAGTCTAAGTGTAGAGCTGTCTGTTTCAGAATCAGAGAGAGTTATCACACCCCTTCTTCCCCACAATAAAAAGCCTGGGAAAACAGGAGAGTTTCCACATTGTGGAGCTGATTCTCAGGTTTAATATAGCCCTTCTTCATTGTTTGACAGCACAAAGGGCGTGTAAAACTGCCTAATTTCCCCCCCGCCCCCAATTCCCTAATTCTACACAACACTCAATCCTCCAATAGATGTCTTGGCCACAGCACTGCAGCATTCTAGCTATCCCTGGCTGCCAGAACAGCCTCTTGGCTCCATTGTCATCTGGGCACAAATTAGAGCAGTCTACTGAGTTGATTTACGGGCCAAACTAGCACGTGGCCCGTTCTATGATCAATGGGCATGAAGGTTGGCATCATATAGACTGATTCATGCAGTGTAATGAGGAACTGACCTAGAAACTCTCTATCATACATAAACTTCATATGCCAGCATTTGAAATGCCACTCCCTCACTTCACATTACGAATCAGACCCAAATAAGGCTTTTTTAGATTTGGGAAATTTTGTGTGAGCAGTGTTTGGGAGAAATGTTGGATTTCTGTACTGGAAAAACTGTGCTGACACATTAACATCTTTGGTTGGTGCAATCTCATCAGGCAGTCTTTATAGAAACCATAGTGAAAAGCTCAGCCAGGGTTATGTGGGAAGTATTTTTAGAAAATATAGTGTAAATGATATGATCAGAAGTTTAGAACCAGGGCCGGCTCTAGCGTTTTTGCCGCCTCAAGCAGCAAAAAAAAAAAGCCATGATTGCGATCGGCGGCAATTCGGCAGCAGGCCCTTCACTCCGAGAGGGAGAGACGGCCCCGCCGCCAAATTGCCGCCGAACAGCCAGACGTGCCACCCCCCTCTTCATTGGCCGCCCCAGGCACCTGCTTGCTACCTGGAGCTGGCCCTGTTTAGAACCATATATATTTTAACACTCTTGAAAGTACCAGGATTTCTTGCATTAAGATGGGTGAGAGAGGAGGATGAGGACACAGGGATGCTAACCCCCAAATTCTATATTGTGATAATTACATGGCAATTAAAAAAGAAATAATTTCAAATTAAAATTGTGTTTTATTGATCACAAAAAAAAATTATAAATCTGAATTAAGCTAATGAAATTTAATTAGTTGACACATATTTAATGTGAATGTATTTTTAGTGAATTTACTGAAGATATTTTTTGGCTTAAGAGCATGCTAAAGAATTTCATTTATTTAACTATATTCTAAGCCTGTGTTCTAGAAGCCAGGCACAATGGCATGATGGCATCACATCACTCTGCAGTCTGCTATTCATGAGGTTGTATATCAGGATAAAATCACAACTCCCACTCAGTGGACTACTGTAGTTGACACCAGGGCCAGACTTTTGAAATTTCAGTGCTTAAATCCATATTTAGACACCTGGATAAGTGGCCTGATTCTCCTTCATGAATTACTCATATGGATCCCCACTCTTGGGTATGTTGAACTGCCCCTTGGTTCCTTTAGACCACTGAAGGTATAGCAGGTTCAAAGAAGAGCTCAATGGCCTCAATGCTTCCCTCATTGTTTTTGCTGTTCCTGGGGCACCAGCCCTGCTCTGGGGGCTGTCATAAAGTGGGGGTTGCCCTGCCTCCTCCATGCCTCTCCTCTTTTAGACAATTTGTTCGCAAAGGAATCGAGGGGGAGCAGTCTCCATGCAAGGGCTGTCCCCAATCTAAGCCAAAGAGGTTTCCTCTAATAGTATCAACTCAGTCTACAAATTTTCTAGACTGTGGCTTAGGGGGTTAGTCTAGCAGTCAGTCCATCTCAACACAATAGCTGTCCAAATGAGTAAGATTATGGGTACATTATTGTTGTGACTTTACTGGTGTTCAGCCACTGGGAGATATCAGGAATATTAAACTAAAAGCAGCTTCTACAGAATGCCTTCACAGTGTTTCCATCGTTGAGATATGCAAGGCTGTGACTTTCAGCTCCATATTCAGCTGTACGCCCTTGACTTGGCCTCTAGATCTGGTGCCCAATTCAAGAGAGCCTGTCCTGCACGCTCTTTTCAGCTAATGCTCCTCAGAGACACCTCCTGCTGCTTGTTAATCTCCCTAGAGTGGGAATCCATACTGTCAATCCTTGAAGGAGAAAAAACAGCTACATACCAGAGTAACTGTGGTTCTTTGAGATGACTGTGGATATGGATTCACACTCCCCTTGCCACTTATTTGGAGTCTCTTATTAAGGATTCCTGAATTAAAAGAAGGATGCAGAGGGGCAGTTGGGGCAATTATTAGTGAGTGGAGAGAGGTTGGGTGCAACCAAAGCCTCATCAGATAGTGATTACTAGAATGTCCATACTTGTGAACCAGGGGTGTGCATCTCCCCGAAGTGTGGGCCTACATGGACAGTCATCTTGAAGGACCACAGTAAATTATTGTTTCTTTCTTTTTAGAGGTGCTGACCACCAGAACTCTGTTAAATCCAATGGTGGCTGCAGATGTTCTGCATATCTGAAAATTAGGCCTCTTATTTAGGTGCCTAAATATGGAATTAGGTGTCTAACTTTAGGCACTCACATTTGAAAAATTTGGCTCAGGTATGTCAGAAATGGAGAAAAGCACATTTGGACACTCCCTGACAACCAGTACCCTTCTTTGAAGAGTTCGTGCACAGACGAAGAGTAGGTATAAAGGAGCACATGACCACAGTGTAAGTGGGGTAGGAAGAAAGAAGCAGTCATATGTGAAGTGATGCATAATGCAAAAACTATCTGGACAACTCTCCATCAGCAAAATCAGTATACTAAAAAAAATAAGGGCATTTCAATGATACAGGTTAGTGCCCCTTCACCTCTGGAGATGTATGTTTTTACAAGTGAAAATATGTTTGATCTCATCCATTCCATAGTAGATATTTATCCATTTCATGCAGTTTGACACAATTGATAGACTCTGTTTAGAAGAAGTCCAGTATTAGAGAACCAGAGATAGTATAAATCAGGATTGAATTAGCAGAACTATGAGAATAAAGATTACATAATCTTTGGTTCCAATGTTATCATTGTCAAATTCAAAAGTCTTCATTTTCTGGCAACTTTATTTGTATTTTCAGTGATTTAGAAAAGACTACTGGTTACCAAGTCAAAACCTTTTGGGTGCTTTTGGTAGCTCTTGAGCATGTCCACGTATTTGTTAACTCTCTCTTTCAGACTGATTTCTCCCTGCTTTACTTCAGAGCTGTTGCTGTGTTATTAAAGACAAGGTTTCTTCTTTCTGAAACGATTAGCAGTGAGCTCAAAGGTTTCTATCAGAATCATACTTTGCAACTAGGTGCATGTTTTCAAAAGGAGACGGTCAAAAGAGGATTAATAACCATGTAGAGGCTGTGTCACCTAATGTTGCTCATATACACTGATCAGACTGTTAAGCCAAAAACTGTCAAAAGAAAGCAAATAACTCTAATGTATTCAAACCGATTTCAAAGGAACTTTAACATTCTTTTCTCTTCCTTTTTTATGAGGAGTCAGCAAGTTCCCTTTGCCCCTAGACATCCAAACATTAAAATTCTAAGGTTACTACTTTTCTCCCAGTTTCCCCTCTTCCTCCCTGGCTTTTTTAATGGCACTGGTGAGGATTCTTCTAATAAACCTCTCCCCCATCGACCAAGATTCTTGACAGATATCCAGCAATCGTTAGGGAACAGAATTACTGGAACCAGTCAAGTCATGCATATGTCCTGCATAGCTGTGCAGAGCATTGCTAAAGTCTCTTTGGACAATCATGTCTGTTTCAATGTTAAATTTAGAAGTTCTGAGATTTTCATTGTGTTGTGATCTGAGAAGAGCATCCTGGTGAACTTAATGCTCTTCTGTGTCCTTGTGAATCAGAAGAGATTCAGTCATACCAGCCTTATGAAGTTTCTTTCTAAATTGCTATTGGATTTAAGAACGTGCATTTAATCCTGACAATAATTTTACCTTTCCCCAGAAATAAAAGCAATGAGGCATGTGCTGCTTGCCTTTTGGATTGCAACTTTATTTGTATACAGAACTTGCTATCAGAAATCTATTGCATAGGCATGGTGTTTGTCAGTTTCCCAAAGGACATCCCTTCCCTTCCCCATGTGCTGATAGGAATTCTGTCTTTTACTTTGATTCTCTGATGAAAAGTGCATACTTCATCTTTTACTTGTGAGTGATGTTTCTTTCTCTTTTCTCTCTCTCTCCTTTCTAATTGTCCTGGTTCCTCTCTTTACTTTTCCTTCATTTTCTCCTCTTTCTTTCTGATGCAGAGATGAAGATAGTTGGGTGTAAGTTTCTGCTTTTCTGTGTAATTTCTGCTTATTGCTTGATTTTTTTCCCATCTTTACTTCATGTTTTTTTCATGGAATGTTGGGGATTGGTAAAAGTAACAAGCCATAATAACATTGTGGGGAAGCTTTGGTAACAGATGGGCATTATCAGTGTATTATCAGTATTTCTTCACACTAATGTATTCCAGACAGAGTTGCTAAGTATAACAGGATGAATCAGTATCACTGCTTAGAAAGCTTTGGGCATCAATGTTTTGAATGTTCACTAGGTCATGGCAAGAGAAACATTAATAACAGGGTATGACAGGGCTTGTCAGCTGCTCAGAGCACAATTATGGGAAGAGGGTTAACAAGAATAAAAAAAGGCATACAATTTTTTATAAAGTAAGTG